GAATAGTTGCGAGTCTATAGCTTCATAGCCAATAACTATTCTATAGCCAGCTATATAAATAGGAAGGGTAAAGATTCTATAGCTTTGAAAACATAAATTTTTCTATAGGTGGCTATAGCGTGTTTTATGGTTTCTTATGGCTGATCATAGAGGGCCATAGAAGGTGAAAGCTTACCATTGGATTTTCCAGAGACGTCCATAGACCATTTTCGTATGGGATGGGCGCTAGAATGGCTCCCAACTACGGAAACATCTTTATGAATAGACTAGGAAAAACATTTCTTTCGGGCAGACCTCTGCGACCCTCCTTTTACAGACGATTCATTGACGACATTTTTTAAAATATGGGAACACATGTGAGGACCAGCTTTTGGAGTTTATCAGGGATTTTAATTCCGCACACCCAGATATTAAATTTACGCATACGTTCTCCCGAACCGAGGTTAACTTTCTTGACGCCACGGTCGTGGTGATGGGAGAGAGTTTAAAAACAAAACTCTACAGGAAACCTACAGAGAGCTCGAAATATTTGCATTGCAACAGCTGCCACCCCCGCCACTGTAAAACTAGTATTCCGTATGGTCAGGCGCACAGATTCCGACGGATAAGCTCGGAGGAGGGTGACTTTAACGGCAATGCAGCCCACCTTCGGGGCGCCCTCATCGAGCAAAATTATCCACTACCCGTCGTTGACAGCGCAATCGAGAGAGCCATCGCACTAGACCGCAATAAACTACTATCTGGCACGCCGTCGGACCGAAGGGAGAATCGTAAAAATAATTTAGTTTTAACGGATTCAAACAACAAGCCTAACATTAACAACATTCTGAAGAGACATTTTAATATTAATAAACAAAGCGAAAGGCTGAGAAATATAATTCCTTTCCCACCACGCGTTGCATTCAGACGTCCTAGAAACCTAAATTATATGATTGTGGAAGCCAGGACCACCCCGGTGGAGAACATTGGGAGCCGACCATGCTTGAGTATGCGGTGTGAGGTATACCCACACGTCTCCCCCACCCGGACAGCTAGGAGCACGGGATCAAACTTCACCTTCCGAATTCGGGGTGATCTAGACTGCTCTACCGCCAACGTTGTATATTTACTGGAGTGTGGGGAATGTCACATGCCGTACGTGGGCCAAACAAACAAAGTGTCCATTCCGGAGGAGGTTCAACAATCACAGATCTGGCACCGAAAAAAAGCCCACTCTTCCACTCTCAAAACACCTAAAACTAAAAGACCACTCATTTAAGAAGTTAACTGCCACATTTTTAGAATCCGGATTTGCTTCACATCGCGAGCGGGAACAGAAGGAATCATTCTTAATTCGTGAGTTCAACACACTGCGAAGAGGGATTAACGAAGATCCCGGCATACTAACACCACTTCAAGTCATTGACATCTAAGTCTAAAAGCGAACGCAAGAATTAAATTGGAGTCATATTTACAGTTAAGAGTCGACGAGCCATTCCAACATTTCCAACAAAAACTTCCCAGTAACTTTTTTTGGCATTGTTGTTGCGCTGTGTCCTTCCCGTGTCTCTTCAGGCGCCCCGACCGCGGAGCGCCCCGTGGGTTAGGGGTCTGGCCGTCTTTGTCGGATCGACGCTGGTTTTGCCTCTTGGCTAATTGGACGAGTGAGCCAGCCCTCCTCCTCGGCCACGGTGTGGTGTGCGCTTTTTGGGCAGGGACGCGGCGGGGTTGAAGGTGCGGCGCGAGGAATCAGATAGCGTTCGTTCGACGGGCATCCGAGAGGCTGCATCATTCCGCTGCCGCCGTGCCTGCGGCTGACGGTGTCGTCGGCGGCCAGACGGCGAGGCTGTACGTGACCACGGGTCGACGGGTCGCCTCCCCGCGCCGCTTGAAACCATAGTGAGAGAGAGAAAGAGAGAGAGGGAAGGGCCAACTTTGTCGGCGCGGCACGGGGAGCGAGCTGTCCTCACCTGAAGGGTATTATATCCGTGACCTCGCCTAACTGGATTTTTTTTTTCTTACTTTGCGGGAATACAGAAAGGTCGTACCAAGTTCCCTCGACCGTCATTCTCAAGAAGAGAGGCCTCTTCTCGAAACGTCAATAAAACTTTCCTTGTTTTTGTTCATTCCATGGAGCTTTCTTGTGTATTTCAATAATCACCGGCCCACCAGCTTCAATCATCATATATATCGGGGGGTGGCAAGGCTAACCCGGCCTAAGAGCCGCAAACAAAGCCACGAACCTTCCAAGAGCCGCGGTGGGGGGGGGGGGGGGGGGGGGGGGGGGTATTTTTGTCCATAGCAATAAACGACATTCAAACTATACTTTCAGTCTAACCGAGTCAAAAGCAGTACAAACTGTATGTAAGGCAGTAGCGGAACACTACCTAACCGCAACCTGCCTTTCGATATAAGACGCGTTCCATTTCTCTTTTTGGGGACGTCCTCGTGTGACCGGCAGGGAGGCGCGGGAGGGGGGGGGGGGGGGGGGGGGGAGGTTGGGGAGGGAGCCACGAGCCGCACTGTAACATGTAAAGAGCCGCATGCGGCTCGCTGCAGCTTGGCCCCCCCCCCCCCCCCCCCTGATATATATATACACAGGCTGTCCCAAATAACTTGCACCAAACTTTTTAAAAAAAAGAAGGCTCTTCGACAGTGACATTAACTGTTTGTTGTTAGCAAGCGTTTGGGAACGTGCAGAATTTTCATTCCGTGCGCCTAGTTATTTAGTTAATTAAGCCTAAGTAGCTATTTTTTTTTAATTTTTCGTTTAAGAGCCGAGGTGTCACTTGGAGAGTTGTAGAGCGCATTGAGAAACACCCAATTAAAATGCTTCCCACAAGATCCGCTTTGCGGGCTTCTTTTTTTCAGCCTAAAAAAAAGCACGCAACAAAAACATTTAGGGCCGGTTCAGACACTTGCGTTTGAGTGCGTTTGACTGCGTTGCGTCGAGTGCGGAAAGCTAGTCACCGGCACATCTGTGCTTCGTATGAAGCGTGGAATCTAATCCAAGGAATCATCTTGGCACGCGATATAAGCAGCAGGGATGTCCTGGTTTCTCGCTGCCGCAACGCAGTCAAACGCAGTCAAACGGAACTGTCTGAACCAGGCTTAAAACACGTGACAACGCGTTTTCAGCGTTATCAGACGTGCATCGAAGGAGCGAAGTCCACCTCACCACTGGTGCGCTGTCCGATACAGGGCTTTGCGGCAGCACGTGCTCCCGCCCGTGCTCCACGAGGGGTACCTTTAGCGCACTACTACGCTTCCCACGCGCACAAAGTCCTTCTGAAACTAACTGATTGAGTGGTTTCCGTTGAGGCTCAGGCAAATTGCTATTGGAGACATGTCTATTTTCACTAACTAAAAAGTTAATTGGTAACTTTCAATTAATTATCAAACTAATTAGTAACTCTTCTGCATTTCCTGACGTCCGCCACCACAAGTAATGCAATGCCGAGATACATTTTTTTTCACCTCGAATACACTAATTTCAGGAACTGTAGTCAACCTTCGTTTAAGCACCCGGTATATATATCCGCATTGTTTTTGCGCTTAAAGGCGTTCCTTTAATAAAAATATTCAAACGAACTGACGGGCTACTCGGTTACACATAATAGAAAAAAGACAGTGCGAGAAAGTGTTGTACAAGTTTCTCCAAGACAGGAACGAACGTTCTTTTCTGGTTCCTTCTCCGCCTTGGAACGAGTTTCCGTTTCAAGTTCCAATGGTTTGAAAGGAATTCGTTCCCGTTACATTCGTAAGATAGAACGTGCCTTTAAATTAATGGCCTAATTGCGTAATTAACTAAAATACTGTGCTAGATAATGCGTAAATAAAATGAAGCAAACATGTGAAAATATATGCACGCCAAACTACGTATCGAATTGGCAGAAGCTGTTCAGGCGAGTTGGTTATTAAACATCGCAAAGTCAGGGTCACATTTGCTCCAGTTCTTTGTATTCGAAATTTAGAAAACCTTGCGGACACTGCCGAATACCTTGAAATCGGATGTTGAAATAGGAGATGATAAAAAGCTTATAGTCGGTGACAAGTCAAGAGGGAAATGGAAGCTCTTCTCATCTCTCTCCACTTTACAAAAGCGAACGCTGGAGGGGAAAAAGCCTCCTCTCAAACGTTCGTTCCGCTAATGTGGAAAAAGAAGGGAGGAGCTCCCCACTTCACTCTTAACCTCTCACCTACTATAAATTTCTATCATAGGGTTAATAACTTTTAGAATATATATATTAAAAAATGGACGTTCCTTCTTTCATTTTTTTCGAAAACGTAGCGAGTCCCCGTTGCAGTTCCACTGATGCAAAGTGTAACGGCGCGTTCCTTCATTCCTCCTAAAAGGAATGCGCTCCAGGAAGGTCGTTCTTTGGAATGTCGTTTCGTCCTCACTGCAGGTGCGAAACACAAGGGCTTGTAGGAGAAGACAGGACAATATACCATTCCTTTCTGAAATGAATAAACTGCATTTAAAATGCTTTTCGCGATTTATGCCCAACAAGTATTAAAATCTGATTAAATCCGCCATTCAGTAGAACACCAATGCTTAATTTTGTGCCGCGATCGTATCGAGAGCCAGCCGTAACAACGGGCTGACGAAACGGACCGCAGGCACGGAGTAGACGTAGTCGAAGCCTCACGTAGCCGATCCAGCCGACCGAGCGACGAGCAGATGTTGAGAACATCGTCGGTACGCAAGGCAGTCTGGGACTGATTTATTTCTTAGGCATTGCTGCTGTGCATGATGTCATGCCGGGCCTTAGGATATTAAACATCCTTGCAAGCGGGGAATGCATTGCCTGACAAAATAGAGAAGAAAACACGCCCACCTATTCCGAAAAAAAGGAGGGAGAGCGTGAATTTTGTAACTGCGAACAACTGAATGCTTCTTTTCGCAACAAAAAAATAAAAATGAATTTTGATTCTTCCAAGAAATATCGTAATCGGTGCAACTATATAAAGCGAACACATCTGCCCATATTGCAACTACGTTTGAGAGTTTGCCAACGATGCTAGCCCTGAAACATTTGCTGTTCTGTCTAAGCGTCGGTGCGGCGTACGCCCGCGTAGAGCTTGAAAGTTGGGAGAAAACACCGGACAACAATCCTGACCTGAACAGGAAAGACCTTGGACCGATGCAGGATGCATGGAAAGTATGATTTATTTTCACGGGGGATATAATTTTTGTTTTAACAATATCGGCCATCTGCACTGCCATGAAGCCATTGCTGTTTCAGTCGAGATCCTGTTTATATTAGTAAGGAGATGGCTTCCGGACGACCTTACGAATTCATGTACCCGAATAATGCCCCTGCTGAAAGCAAACCCCATTGCGCAGTAAAACAATTGCAGGCAATTGCCTTAAACGTTTATATCCGGAGACCGTTAGTTACAATTTTTTTTTCACTAACGTTTTGCGCTACCTTTGGGCGAAATCTGAGCCTTCAGAAATGTGTAGTTTTGAATCGCTGTAAAAAAAAAAAACACACACACACACACACATCAGCTTCACTTTATTGGCAGCGGATTGGTGTATTGGTTTTTTAGGTGGCACGAATTCCAAAGGAAGAAAACGTGATGACAATAATACTAAATCAAAAACGAGCTGAATGTAGAATACTGTATGAAGCTAAAACAAAGTTGCCATTAACTGAAGGGCGGGTTTGTATCATTGACTGGAAACAGAAAGAGTAACAGAAACTCGGGACGTGGTCCCTCGTCCCGAGTTTGTTTTCTTCTTTCCGCTGCCAGCTAAAATACCGCTGCCATTGTTCTGACTTATTGTCAATATTGATTGTTCGTTCGTTTCTTCCAACAATTTGTTTATTAATGTTACGTTTACAAGCAGGCACATTCTTTGTAAGCCTAGTATGGTATTTAGTCCCTCATCGGCTATACACTGGCCACTTTTATTCTTCTGGAGAATCAATGTAATGTTTTCATTCGTAGAGGAGATAGACGAAAGTGGAGCGTGCATTCCGACGACGTCGATCACATCTTATTATGAATGCAACGAAATTTGTTTCTAATAGTTTTCTTACGTCTAGTTCTTACGTCTTACGTCTAGCTCACATTAAGGCTTTATCAATGCATACGAAGCTAATCCAGAGGACAGCATTTTAATTACGTAAAAAGAATTAAAAAAAACACTAATATATTTTCAGACAATCAAGGGTACGGCGAACCAGAGCTATTATCTAATTTATAGTAGCGGATTATGGGTCCGCAGAGATTACGAAGATGTGAGATGCCTCCAAGTGCATTCAAGCGACCTCAATCACACATTGAAGAGTGCCGCTTACACATTAAAATGGTACGACACAGACTCTCAAGAAATGTAAGCATTTCCCTTGTTTCATAATGTCCTCAACATAAATGGTTTAATAAATATCCAACCATTTATACATGGCATTTCGGTGTCCACTGAAGTAGTTAGTTGTCTTTTCAAAAACTGATAAGTATCCCCCTAGGAATTCTACTGAAGTACGATAGAGTGCTTGAATAAGTTTATTCGTTAGTCACTTATTTTGTATATTTACTATTTCGAACTGTATGCTGAGGCTTAATAATAAGGTGCATACAAAAGCACAAAAAGCGTTTGATAATACGATAGGATTAATAATATGGCAAAATAGTGACACCGTCTGAGTCCCCCATTTGCACTTGGGCGGAGCATTAATGGGATTGTTTTTGTAAATACACATGGCTACAATTTATTTCGACAATAATGTACAAGCTGCAAGAACAAGCAAATCCTTATTATACGTTGCGGGATTAAAGAAACACGTAACAGACGACGATAAGAATCCCTGGGGAAAGGGAACAAGGGGGAGAAAGGACAAACACATATCTCGAAAACATAAAAACAACTGATAAAACCCGTTTGCTCTACTGACGTCTAACTCCTTGTTAGCTCGGTTATTAGAGTGCTCCACTCAAAATTCAGAGGTCCCTGGTTCGATACCAGGAAAAGGCGGATTTTTTTCGGTAGCGCACCTGTCACCTAGCTGTGTTTTTGGAGATTTATGCTTTTGCTCTGTCCCCATTTCACTTCTGCAGGGATTGTTATTGTCATTCTTGTCCAGCTCGCTTGCACCTTTGCATTAATTACATTTTCACCATATAACAGACATCGCTTTAGATAATAAAAAAGGAGGCGTTTTGACAAGCCAAATACAGTATGGAATCTGCGAAAAATGAGCATCTAAAGCTGACAAGATATATGCTTTCACAAAAAACTATATCTCATAAGATCTTAGGGACATTAGCATCAATTTTACATGGTATCTAACGAACAAATAATAGAAAATATGCAGACGAGTGACTCGTGCTGAATCGTTTATTAGTAACGTTATTTCTTCAGCATGTTTTCGAATATTTCTTCCTTAGGGACCATGTGGAGATGAAAATGGCCCGTGACATAGTCAGACGTAGTTTTTGATTTCCGAAAATGACTTTATTGTGTTTATAATGCTCATAAACAAGAAATCATGCCTGTAAATGCGGCAGGAGAAAGAGTGAGGGAACCTCTGGTCTGGAGCACCACAAGCGCGTGTTACGTGCCAACAATTTTCGTATCGCGTTCCGCGCGGTGGCATGTGCTTCCAGAACACCTCTGTTTTCCTGCAATAGACCGATCCATAGCCTCCTCTATACTGACAAAGCCTGGCAGTTCGCCACGAGACGCGGCCGCCGAGAGTGAAAAGGTAGAGCGGCAGACAAGAGGAATGTAACGGGCGCCCAGCTGCGGCGAGACGCCGAAGAACACTTGTCCCGAGCGATGGAATGTCCGCTCTTGCTTCTCGCGTTCCTCGGACCAGAGGCTCTGCCTCGGACTACCGTTTCTTTCTCTCGTTGGGTTTGAAAACCATGTTTCGGGTCCTGGCTGCTGCAAAAGCTGTGCGCTGACTACAGGCTCCCCGGGAAATGCTCTCTGCTACCAGATTCTCGCGCTTCAAATCTGCGACCGGGCACTGTGGGGCACCAGTGTCTCCCTCCCTCGAGGAGGTAATACGCAAGGCACTTCCTTCCTCACCCGAATGAGTGTGTAAAAGTGTTCTCCGTCATCGAACTGCCAACCTTTGTGAGTGTATAGGAGACAATGATCGATCTCACCAGCCAGTTTGACTACGCCACCACTGTCGGATTGCATCGAGGGAACTTTAGTCTTTCAGTACGTGCCTGAACCTGGCTGGAACTCTGCACGTTAAGGCGGCTTCACGCATGCGCCGAATGCCTGGTGAGATGGGTCTGATCCGTTCGGTGCGTTCTTAAGACACATTGGAAACGCCAAAAGGACAAGCCGGTGTGGTGCAGTGTTTTGCATACCTGACCGGTAATTATGAGACTAAGACTTCGAATCATGGCGCCATCTGGGATGGGATTTTGTCTTTTGGGCGGCTACATAACCATGGTTTCACCAGATCAGTACGGTTAGTTTTATCTAAAAATTTCCACATTTGATCTTCGCATGCTCTTCAATAACGTAGTGCATATAGGACACCGATCGCCTTATTATATCTGCGCCGTAGGTGTGTATCTTGATGGTGTATCGGCGTATGCGCCGCGAAAGTTCGTGTGTTCCTCGTGCACCTCGTACGTTTGTTTACCCCCGAAACGGAATCACGTGCTTTTGTTTTTCCCTGTTCTCAACCAACGTCGCCATTTGATTGGCGTGCTCCCCTTTGCGTTGTATTGCGCGAGCGGCGCATTTTGGAACAGTTGCCCGCCATACTAAGTTGATAGGTCTGACAAGCGAGATAAAACGCGCCCCCTTTCCCTGAAATATTGCAATACTGCTGCGTAAAAGCAAAAGAAAAAAAAAAGAAAGAAAATGATGCACGTCGGATAATTCGTTGATTTGTGGCCGGGTGTGGCAGTTATGGGAGCGATGGTGGCTTGTCATTGGGAGCTCACATAAGTCGACAAAACCAGTTCCCTCCCGCTGCTACAGTCGGCTTCAGCACCTTGGTCAACCGCCTATTGACTCGATCGCACGGTGCAACCTTCGGCGGCGCTAGTCTGTAAAAAAATGACAGCGCTCGGTTCCCAAACCTACGGTAGACAAGGTAGTACTACCACAGGTGGCGTCACTGAAAAGACGGGTTGAGAGTTGAGGGGTACTGCGACCTTCGATTCTTTTAATTTTTTCTAATAAAAACTAGCGCGGAAGCAAATGTAGTTTCATGTTTTTTTATTATATAGGTGACAAGGGCTAATTCTGGCGGTTAATTTCCTGAACTCTCTGAAAGCACAAATGTGACCCTATTGATCGGGCCACGAAAGTAAAGAAAAATTAGTTTCATAGGGAATGATAAAAACAGAAATACCCCAAACGGCACACACCGCTCTGCATGAAGAAACCAAAACGGGCCATTGGCGGAAAACAGACATGAATCGCCGGGTCCCACTGGGAGCTGGCTACGATTGACAAAGCGGGATATTAAAGCGCAAAACGACGAGGAAGGAAATACGAGGCAGACAAGAAATAGCGCTCTTTCCTCTCTCCCTCGTATTAGTTTCCTCATCGTTTTGCGCTTCAATATCTCAATACGTACAACCAACTAGCCCGCCAAACGATCATAATAACAAAAAACGATATCACGAAATAAACTTCCAAATGGCGAACAGTCTTATTTATACCTTCTTAGATATAACGATTTCGCATACGTGGCACGTTCATAGAAGAGGCATGTGCAGAGGTTTTAAAGCTAAGAATCTCTTGGTTGTAACATAGTTTCCAAGAATAATCTCCGGTCGCTTACTTTCAGGTGACTGTGTCTGTTTTATTTTGGATGGTATTACTCTTTTGTTTTTTTAAACAATATGCCTGTTTTCATAATAAAGACAAATAGCCGTTAACTTTAAAAAAAAAAAAATGCTAGCTACGCGCTCATACAGATAAGCATTAAATCTATCACAAATTGCTGATACAATTTTCGCTACTCTGAAGGTAGGCAAACTGCTAAAGGATAGCTTGACGTCGACTTTCGCTTATCCTTTATATTCCTGAATTTTGAATTTTAGGTAGACTAAACACACAATGTCTAAGTTTTATAATACTATGACTTGTAAAAAACGAGTGAAAGATAATGCATAGGTAATATTTAACCGGCCTTATTATTTTCCCGTAAATTTACACCAAGTGTCTTGTGTGTAAACAAGATTTCTGCAAATAGTCATTTATCACGTCTTGTGCTACAGGAAATCAAAAACACAATATGTTCAAGCTGTAAAACAAAAGGATTATAGCATTGAAAATATTATGCATTTGGGTACGTATCTTATATTTTTTTTTTTGCAGTAATAATTAATGCTAAAATTCCCATCGCATGATTTTTGGCAAGCGCTGTGCGCGAACCAGTTGTTGCCGCGACAAGCACCATAAGTGCAGCAGCTTTGGGAATTTATTAACCACAGTTTTATTGCCAAGTTGCTAATGGGCCATCCGCTGACTCACAATACTGGTTTGAAATTTTCATGCTCTCTCCATTTATTTAGTTAACCCTTCACATCTGTTAAATGCTGCGACAGCGTGGAAGTTTTTGTTTTTAATATTTGCGTAGAGAGTTGGTTTGCGGTGGTTTACTAGAGTGGCATGTTCCCTTAAATAACTTGTGTAGATGCAGAGGGGTTAATACTAGTTGAAATAAACACCACTGAGCTGATTTCAATCCAACTTATGGCGGAACGCATAAACCGGTATAACCTTTCCAGGATACGATGTCGCTGAAAATATGCCAGTCCCTCACACCACTAAGATGTTGCCATTCAAACTATCATTCTGGTTGGACGTGTAACATTTCGTTCCTCATGTGTACGACTAAATTGAAACGATTCAAGATATATTTTTTTTATATACGTTGTTGTTTTTGTTTTCGAAATGTACGCATGTTCAGTTATATACAACCATGAAACTGTTACGCGTTTTTTTTCTGTGACATTGCACTTTCACATGTTATAAAATTATTGTTGTAGGTTTGATTATACATGTGTAGAGAGGCAAGCTAATGTACTTTGGCACTTTTTTCTCGCATCACCCCCAAGTCACTAAATGTTCCCAGATTACCTAAGCGTACACGCATTTTTTTTTTTATAATAACGTCGTACATAGCGCAGCACTTGAGAGCAATAATATGGTGGATTTCTGCTATTAGAGCAATTCGTGTTACCGTCTAGGAGTTTTTGTTCGTGGCTGCTTGAAGTGCGCACAGCGGTGCTGGTATTTTTTTAATTACAATTCCTCTCAATCTTTCCAAGCGGTCGTAAGACTTACGTATTGTGTTGGGTTTGTCTCTCCTGCTTTGATACTTCTCCAATTCCAAGCCAAGGCCTAGCGCATGAAGAGTAATTTTTGACAAACGCGGGCAAGCTGGCTCTCCACGCTGAATTTGAGACGTACCATTCTTGCTGGCGTGCTTGTTCAGCGAGAGGACGTTTCGTAACCGCGACTTCGTGTTACCCTGTAAGTTTAAGTGTGAGCAGATAATAGATTTCTGTTTATCTCTTAAATTCTTCTTGTAATTATTTCGATTCCTGCGTAGTTTTTGTGTATAGGGTATGGGGAACAGAAAGCATATAATATTAAAACCTGGAGTAAGAAGCTGTTAGAAATTTGTTGTAGATAGAAGAAAAACTAGTGGTAGTTGCTTGCAATGGTATCAACTTTCCTTGCCGGGGTATTAGGAAAATGCCCAAACAAGAAGTTGCGCCATTCAAGACTGGCAGACAGCTGCGCACGTATCCTGCATAGAAAACATTTTCCTTTTATTGTTATGCGGGGCGTGCACGCGAAAGATTTGTGCCACCAACTTCCACGAACGAGGAAGCTCAATGGCGTCTTCACCTGGGTATATTGTGGGCATTCGACGGCCTTAGTCTAAAGGCTCTGTTATACCTCAGCGTTGAGCGAAGCGAACGCAGCGTAGCGCAGAATGCGCTCATTTTATTGGAAGGCGTGCAGGAACTCGATATCTGCGACCAATCAATCTCTTTGTACGCTGCGCTTCGCCGCGCTTGCTACACTCGACGTCGGAGTATAACAGGGCCTGAAATGATCAGTGCAATACACTAATTTCAAATGTTCACCACAGCAGCATTGGCCGCCGCCATTTTTTAGGCTCGAAGCGTGGGATTTAATCCGCGCCCTCGCGGAACGCTGACGAAGCACTCGTCTTTGCTATGAGCTCACAGCACGTGCTCAAAAAACGGCGTACTCCTATAGTTGACCCAGCAGCTATAAGTGTGTAAACCTTTCAAAGGGTTCTATCATCCTTGGTTCCATACTCATTTTCTTTCTTCTTTAGTTGTTTTGTCTAATTGCTGACACCGTTTATCGTTAAGTGCAATTTTCGTTGTTTGGGACATTTATTTTCTCACTTTCCACTGTTACATTGGGCGTTAATGCCACAGGCCAGGTTCTGCCTAAAACCCGATCCGTGCGAACGGTGCCGAGCTCACAATGTACCACCTAATTCAACAACAAAAAATACATTTCTCTAATCTTTTTCTCCCAAGGCCAGCCTCAGCGTAAACCCACATCACGAAATGGAACCTGCTATAATCTCGATTTCACCTCCCCCTGTCGCAGCTGCTTCATACTTCACCAGGAATGTTGGCGACCATTCATCGTTCTATATTCCGAAAAATACGTGTTATACGAGAATTCTTTTTGTTATATATTGAGATCACTACGAGATCGTGAACGCCATGAATGTGAGTATAATGAAATTCTTCACATACCACGGCAATTTATATAAAAAACACGCTTTCGAGTCGCAAATAGAAAGCTATTTAATCTGTTAAATGAATTGGCTACAATCCGCACTGTGGAGGTGCTTGGCCAGCGAAGCTGTGGTATCACCTGCAAAGATTGCCCACTGCACTATACACCAACTCATGTTTACAAACAAACCGGAGTGCCCGTAGCGGACGCCACCGGCGCCGCGCATGCGCGATGGGGGTGTGGGCAAGAAACTAGCCGTCGCTCATAAACAAACCATTGGAATGCAATGTTGTCGGCGTCGGTGTGAGTCGCCTTGCCCTTTTTGGCGTTCTAATTGTTGATTTTACGTATTCCTGGCAATGTCTGACTACTTAAGCCGCCTCAGCGAAATTGTCGAGGCTCGTTACACCGCAAAACTTCGCGTGAATGATGTGACACGCGGCGATTCATTCTGCGTGGACGCCGCAGAATGCACGCTAAAGCCTTATTCGCATGATGAGATTTCGCTCGCAATTTTCAGTCGCGATGTTGCTCGGGCTGCAAAAGCATGAACCGTAGTTGAGATGGTCGACGTCGATACTGAAAATGGCAAGCAGAATCAGAGCTTGTGAATCAGGCATAACAAGTCGCTAACAATGATCAACATCTTGTGTCAACTGCTTACATCGAGCATCTTACCAGCCTTCAAACTTAAGTCTTTTGAGGACTGCACTTACTTATAATCGCAAGTGCCAGGCCAGCATTTGGTCTACAGGCCGGTATCGTCTAAAAGAGCAGACGACAAGCAGAAACGTTTGAAAGAGCAGACGACAGTTCGAACGATCAGACGGCCGTTTGAACTTTAAGACGCACTGGACGTAGTCCGCAGGTGGTCCGTTAAGTTTGACGGTTTTCCCCCGTTCATGTTGGAACAAAACAAATAAATCTGATGACCAGAAGTGTCCTTGAATTCAACCCAAAGTGCTTCCCGCCCAAGCAATCGTGGTTTGACGACATCTGGTTTTCCCTCTTCACGGCACATGTCCACGTTGTCGGACGAACCGAGCACATGAAAACTGCCTTTTCGCTGCTACAGACACCGGCTTCGTTCCATGGGATAGTTCGTGCTTTCGCAATAAAAAGTAAATGTACTGTACCAAAACTTTTTTTACATGAAAGGCTAGTTCCGTCAGTACTCAAATCGCAAGCTGCCGTCGCCTCAGTGAGCGCTACGTGCTTTGCATTGTTATCAGGAGAGCCTTATCATTAATTATGTGGTTCGGATGCTTGTTTTCTGCTTTTCCTTTATTGAAACGAATCATATGCTCTTTTTTGTATGCGTGATATGCACTTTTCGCTTAAATGTCTAAAGGTTTTTTTTTTTTTTTTCTTTTTTTTTTTTGTGAGGACGGCGACACAAAGAAGTTTCAGAAATCCGATTTGTGAGCCAAATACATCTTGGCTGTAATAGACCACTTTTAAAAGTCACGTGCCGATTATTAGAGGGTCGGAGCCACTGCACAACGGCGGAGCGACTGCATCGAGGAACGTGCAGGTCATTCCATAAGATAGTGAGCGTCGAAGCGCTGCCAACACTACCAGCCGACGAGCCAATCAAACAGCGTCGAAATTTCAACGTCACTGCGATCATCCCTTTTTTTAGTGGGTGGCGTTTTCCAGTGTGCCGTGATGTTGAGGTTTTAGTCCGCCATTCTGCAGAGATTTCACAGCTGCCAACAGAGTGTCCTGTTTCGAAAGAGGTCTAGCTATAATGGAAGATATTCAACATCTTGGTTTAAAACAGCACGACAAAACAAGGACAAAGTAAAGACGAGACCGACTACAGCACTGTCGTCTTTCTCGTCTTTACTTTGTCCTTGTATTGTCGCTCCGCTTTAAACCAAAATGCTCCATTAACCGACTAGCCCAAACATACATTTCATCGAGATATTCAAAGTCGTTCCACCCTTAATACCAACTCAAACATATTTCGAGTCCCGTGGCGTCCAGGAACCGACAACAAAGCGTTCAATGAGTGCAAAAATGTGCCAAAGGTCGGGAGAATTCATCAAAGCAAAGGGCGAAAAGTGCAGAAAGTTTACTCCGGCTTAACAAAGCAAATGTATAAAAAATAGACGTTTCGCTATCTATGCATGTGGCATCTTCAGAATGAACTGACACGAATGAGGCGAGAGCCCTCTTATACAGAAGCGAAAGGCCAATAGAATTTCCAGCACTTATCACGCAGACTATAAAGGCCGTGTCATTAGGATGTGGACGCGTACGCGTCGTCTGATATTCCGCAGAAGAAAGCAACTGCGCGTGTTCAGAACGCGTTCCTCAACTTGGGATGGCAGCGCGCAGAGGGTGATTATTGGAAGGATCTATACACATTTGCAAGTACGAGGTCTGGGCGCCGCCGTTGTGCTGCTGGTGCGGGTAAATCGTCTGATAGTCAACCATTGCTGAGGCGTACCCGCAGTTCCCAGACTGGCGCCAAAACAAAGCGTTTTCAATCCACGGTGATCAGAGTAGCTCTTGAAGTGCGGCTGCCTGAAAACGTATTTAGGATGCGCCGCTGTCGGGGAGGCAGGCAGGTTTGCACAGTACCGCGATGCTCGCCCTATGCAGATACTTTTATACTCACACCGGAATCTAGAGTGGCCCTTGTGAGATGTACGGATCGTGAATATTGTCAAGCATTCCGAAAGGTCAAAATAAAGCGTAAAAAAGGGCCGGAAACTGAAATCGCATAGATCCAAAGACAGTGCCCACTCAGCCACTAACCTGGCAAAGAATTGCAGTTCCTACGCTTGTGCACCTACCATGCTGCAATGCTAAAATTAAAATATATTCCTATTGTGTCTTTTTTTGGGGCCCGACTATATTAGAAAAAGTTAATAACGCCATAAATAAAGTACGTAATCAAGGTATTATACCGGAACACACTACAGATTTTGAAATATGTATATATAATTTTCCTGGTACGAATTTCATGGGCTATGAAGCTTGGAGATCTGAATTTGGTGTCACCCGGCTACAGCTAATATTCGAAGCTTCTGTTAAGAAAGCCTGATATGAAAAATAAGACAGCCGATTGGCATTATGTAGTGCAACGCCACTAATACAAGGATAGAAACAGTTTTCGTAGCTGAAACCAGGGGTCAATTCGTTTGATCTTAGAATTCTATTTCTACTTAGACAAAAACCCAAGGATAAAATGTTAGGCTTCGGGTTTTCTGATAATATGACCAGCTCACTATCTTCACTCAACTTGTAGAAACCTATTCAAGTGACGAAAATAAAACTCGTTATTGCATGTAGATCGGGGGAACAGTCGGCAGCCATCGTGCTCAATTTTTGTTTTGATTTTAATAATCAGTTTCATATCGAAAGTCTGCTTAATGAACTCGATCGGATTATAAAAACCACGACACCGATGATGAAGGGTTGCATTACAGGTCGCTAAAGCTCGCAGGAAAATCTATACTGGTTAGAATAAATGTTAAACTCGCAAAAAAATTCAATTAATGTGCTCAGTGCCATACGTTTCAAAACATATCTAAACGATTACACTGTGTTTGTGAAAATTGAATCTCATTTTTATTTTGTTCCTGTGCAAAGTTCCAAAGGTGTTCCTTCGTTGTTTCTTAATTTAACATGCTCAAGTTGGGCGAACTTGTAATTATATTTTTGCCTTTAAAAAGCTTGTTTTTGATTTTTCCTATTATAAGCGAACTTTTCTATAATTTAATGCCCCTTGTCTTTAAACATCGCGTTTGTCTTTCTTTTTCAGCTTGTGAATTCTGGCTAAGGGAAGATTGGGTAAAGAACAATTTGTCGATTCCCGAAGTACAGAACGAAGAAAGTGAGAAAAACGAGGAGCAGTCTGGGAACGCGGATAAGACAACGTATTTGTACGATTCCTTATTTAAGAAACTTCCATCCAGCTGCCGATACGCATTTCTTCTTAACTGCGGATATCCGACGTCCCGAATTTATGACAAGGAAGACTGCGACAAGATGAATGAAAAAGAAAATGCTGCATCAGGTGACACAAACGGAAGTGACTGACAGAATGATGTCAGCAAATGCGCTTCCCGGGTCTGTATCGGTCCTCGCGCTCCAACCATCAACCACGTGTTTTTCGAGGTAGTCTTTGGTTGCTCCGTGAATGTGAACCGGTGCAGTATCTAAGGGAGCCATGTAAACACTGTAGAAGGTATTTGACAAGAGGAGGAACCAGCGCGATACTTTGCAGTGTGATATCTCAAGAAGAAACCATACTGTCTGCATTGTGGAAAACAAGAACTAATGATAAAAAAGCATACCTTAGCACTGAGCATCTTTGAAAAAACTGGTGTCGGTCTTATAGCAATAAAAATGTGTGAAAATCTTGAAGCATTTTCTTAATTGCAATTTGTGACTCGAAAGGAGTTGCTGTGATTAAAATAAGGGGGGCTGCGTTTCTGCAGTGCTTGACTGCAGACTACGTCCAAACGTCGAATTGCAATAGCATTACTTGTCGTCTAAGAAGGTTACATGCCACTGATTAAGTTACGACAAAACTTATAGAGGGTCAGTGGCGCAGTGACGTTGGGGGGGGGGGGGGGGGGGGGAAGGGGGGGGGGCGGAAGGCTAAAACCCTTCCGCTCTCTCCCCCCCCCCCCGGCCCCTCTCCCCGAGAGCCTTTCTTTTTTCTTTTTTTTTTCTTTTTCCTTCTTTCCGGGCATTGAAATGTGGTAGGGTGATGAGCAAAGAGAAGGAATTTCAGCCTGATAGCTTGGAATGTTTTCCGACATTTAGTCTGCTCAATTCACTCGCAATCACCATCGGAGTGTGAGACATATGTACGAACATGCCATACCCCATTAGAGCAAGCAGCATACATTGGTAGTACTTTATTCTGTACCACTGAAAAAGGGTGTAGAAGAAAATGGTTAGGAACAACTGGTCGCATGGTAGAAAAAAAAAATGATCCCGCGATTGCAGTGCAAATAAAGCACATCAGTGTGAATTTATTGAATGAAAATGTAAGCTATCTAAAGTAAAGTAAAACAAGAAACTTAATTTTGTTTTGCCTTTTAACGAATCCACGCTGGGCATTTTTGTGCGAAACCATCAATGGCATATTATGCGAGTGAGGCGTTTATAAAGAATGCAACAAAGGTGTAATAAAGAATAAGAAAAATTTACTACGGTATTCTATTTAGCTTCTCAAAATAAACACGGCATTCGCCCGAAAATCATGTTGTTTGCACGTGATAGAAGTATAGAAATTGTAGAATTTCGTTTGTATGCTCATTTACTAAGTGGACAAATCATTATATAATTTATTAAACAAATTCACCACCTTATTATATCTCTGTACCTATTTACATCAATATATGTTTACAAAGTCGCTTTGGCGCTCAAATTAAGTCTGGCCACATTCAGATTCTCACTTTGCTTCATTTTGATTCAATAAATGTTTATCTAATTCTAATGGATAAATATTTGAGACATGCTAATTTTGAACAATTGAGTCAGCTTTTTCAAATGTTATTTTAATAGCGTTTCAAGGACAAAGAGGCAGGTGTGGCGACTTGTTTATTTTATTTAATAATTTTAAACAGTTCTTACTCAATAAGAAATCTCGTAAAGTTCTAGGTGTCGAATATATTCTGATAAAAGTCACCTCTCAACTTTCTTTTTACTTCTCGTCCGGAGTTATCTACGGCGTGCATATATTACTTCTTCACTTTACCCTCCTTAAACATATATCAGGCAATAACAAAGAAAAAACTGTACAGAACAGCCAGTCAGAAATGCTCTGTTCGACCGCACGAGCATGTATATAATTGATAAGGATTTATGTTGTTGAAATCCATGGAAGAGCTGTCGCCGGGTGCCGGCGGGAATCGCCAAAGCGATTCGGCGGTCTGCGTAAAGCTATCAGAGTCTAACTGTTTCGAAGAGACCAACAACTTGATGCTTGCACGGGCCGACATTAAGAGCGCAGCCCAGCCCGCGGCTTCAATATTCATGGGCCCGCTGAGGCCGGCCCTATTTTTGTCATGGCAGCTCGCTTGCCACTGCTACACATCTTGACTGCGGTATTCCGCAGTCATGGGCGTACCAAACAGGGGGGAGGTGAGGGGGGGGGGGGGGGGGGGTCGTGTGCTTTGCACCAAACAAAGCGTAATCCATGTGCCGCTAAGTAAACCGCAACACAAACGAAAGGAAAATTTGCGACATCTCTGATATGCCCCATGTGAAACGGGGGTTGTTTATAACATTCCTCTATCATGTGCCTAAAGCAACATTGGTCAAACTGGCGGATGTATTTATGATAAAACACGTGAGCATGCAGCATCTCCCAAGGGAACAACAGCGGGCCATCTACCAGCTCATTGCCGCTACTGTAGATGCAGCGCAGCCTTCAACAGCATTACCATCCTTGCAACAAACAAAAACCCGCAAACACGAGCGGTGCTGGAGACCATGGTGATCGAAGAAAATGAAGATACATGCGTCAGTGTGCCATCCATCAAGCTCACCACAAACGAAAAACAGTATTTGCGGTGTGTTACGTCCTGCTGGATTGCGGTTTGTCAATCTAGAATTGTATGCGAAATGCATGTGGCTTTCATTTTATTTCATTTTATTTCATCCTTGGATTGTATAGCGCTTTCAGGATGAACCGGAAAGAAGAAGCATATATAGTTAAGGTTCAAAATGAGGAAGAAGGGAACCGGAACAAATGGTCCCGCAGCATATGGTCCCGGAATAAATGGTCCCAGAATAAATGGTTCCAAGAACAAACTGAAACAAATGGTCCCAGATAAATATCGCCAATGTGACTTCTGCGTTTTCAGATAAAACCGATAAAATCCCATAACACTCGCCGAATTTCGAGCCTGCCGGTCGTACGAATTTGGAACGGTTTTTATGTTTTTCTGGGAAGCTTAAGAATTGTTTTGCGCTTTGGAAATCGAATGCACCTATAAAGGCATCCAGCTCCGCTCGATATGCGTGCTCCCACTACGCGTCATGACGAGATGGAAGTAATTCGACTTTCATGGCTTCAACAGTATGACTAGGGAGGGAGGAACTCACTTGATCGACTGAGGTTTTTGTGAACGCCCGCAGTACACCGAATGACACTTTAGCGAATAGTCGGCCGCCGCGAAGCGGCGTTTACGGGTGGGCCAAGTTGGTTAACAATTTGGTAATAAGCCACCGCAGACTCGCTGCGAACCGGCGTATAAGCGCAGCGCGGGGGGTGGCTTAACACGCCCCCGTTTTTCAGTAAAACGGCGATTCGCTTAAACATCGCTGTTTGCTAAAATGTCATTCCCTCATGTGATATGGACACGTACTAACTCCTATAATATCGTATAAGGTCACTAAATTTACAGCTAGGAGTTTACTGTTGGACAGTTTATACATTTCAAAAATATTCTGGCGATTTTGAATAAAATTAAGTTCCACACCCGACCACTTTCTTCGAAGTAACCTTGTCTCAAAATATAGACGAGATTTCTTATTCCGCCATGAAATCACTGATTGCACAACGGATGAATTATATTGCATGATATATTTTAGTTTCAAAACAATCTTCTTACTGGACCAATTTTTCCTACCTTGTACTTGAGACCAATACTTCCGGGACCATTTGTTTCGGGACCATTTGTTCCGGGACCATTAGTTCCGGGACGATTTGTTTTTTCACGCGCACCGATACCGTTTACTCGCTGTAAGTTTTTATCCGAGCGTGATTGCTGCTGCGGATATCCCAGATTCCAAGGTGAGTTAAATCATCTAAAGCTGCCTGAAGCGACAGTCAAATGCGATGCTTACTTGCTTCTCAAAAAAGAGTCGAGATTTAGATTCAACGGACCTTGCGTCAACATCGGAATGTGCAATTCCAAGCAATCGCGAACCAGTCATTGAGCAGACGTTATCGTCTTGAGAAGAATCATCTGATCAATCCATCAGTGCCGGGCTTTTTCAAATCCCTTAAAGGGCCCATGAAGAAAAAAATTAACAGTCTGGTTGGGACACGCTTGTCGAAAGAAAAAGATTATTTTAAGCGAAACAAAAAAAAAAAAAAAGAAACAGTTTTTAGAGGATTGACGGCGGAAGCCGCGATTTAGTCAGTAGTCTCCTCCTTTCCACTTGTTTTCGCTCTCGGCATTTCGGGCACATGGAGGAGAGGTGGACCGGCTTCGCCTTCAGGTTGAGGTGGAAAGAGCGAATGGCCGAGATGGTCATTCCCGAATGACCCATGACGTCGTGGAATTTGAGCGCGGAGTTTCAAATAAATTTCTCGCCGTCAATATTGCCCTAAAAATATTTTTTTCGCGTAAAATTTATTTCTTGACACGTATGTCCCAACCAGGCTGTTTAAAAAAAAACATTAGTATGTTTTTTTCAGGGGTCCTTAAAAGCGAAGGGAGAATGACACCCTCCAGAAATGCTTTTTTTTATTTTTTGCCAGGCGATTCGTTACGGTGATAGGAGACTACCCAAGCAATATTTCGCGTCGGCGTTACGGTTATTTTGAATAAAGTAAAAAAACAACGCAACTGCTCGAAACCGATACCAAAACTGGGGTGGGGAGGAAGAGTAATTATAATGGAGAAAGTTACCGAAAATCACGTGGTTGTGCATTTTTTTTTTCAATCAGCTTATTTGCAACTTTTTAGAAGCGACAAAAATGGTTGTTATATTTTATTTCTGTTTATTTTTAGTACTGAGTGTCTGCCTCCAACCACCCACGACTTTGATTATCTTTGGTAATAGTGTCTAAACCATAGAAAACGGCACGTGACCACGAAGAAGAGAGTGAGGGCGGCTCAAAACTGCCAGTTCTCGCTCAGCGGTTTTCGGGCGGAAAGAAAACGAATTTCGAGCCTCGAATTGTATTCTGGGCAGTTGTGCCCTCATATATCATGTACAATCGAAAATCTCGGCGAGCATAAATACCCTGTCAGTGTCCCCTTAAGCAACTAATCCGAATGACATCGGGATATACGCCGGCAATTCGGTAAGTGGGACTATTTCGGGAGCGTTACCTTTCCGTTGCCCAG